GGGGGGGGGGGGGGGGATGATGGGAAAATTCAACTTAATTCTCTGAATGAGAATTCAATGGACTATTTTTTTATCTGGAATTTCATTCATGATAACGAGAATAATTACTCGCCCCTTTTTATATTGAGAATGCCCCATGATAGTGAATTTCACCATTGAAGGATGTACACTGTTAAAAGATTTTGTCTGAACTTTCTGGTACACTTTTTGGAAATTTTTATCGAATTTCATTACTACTGAAGTTTCAAGGAATTTCGTCATTGAAAATTCAGAATTTCGCAGAAAAAACAAAGGGAACTGTAAATTTCAGTTCCATTTTTCTCTGAAAATGAATAGAAAACCAGAAAATTTTGGTAAATATATTCTTGAATTTTCAGGACAGTGAGGCTGATTGCGATTTAGGGGGAAAAAATTTTGAAACTTCTGATTTCATTAAAAATTCAATGTAATTTGGTACTGAACATTCATATTAGATTCAAATAAATTAAGGAATTCTCATCTTTATGCTACTTAAAATTCTGGAATTTTACTGAATTTTCAGTGAAACCTGAAATTTCATGATTTTTTTTTCTAACAGTGTACGGGAATAATTACTCGTATAACGGAAATAATTACTCGTATGTTTTATATAGACAATGACCTATGCTAGTGAATTTCACCATTAAAGTACACGGAAAAAATATAATATTATATTTTACTTTGTGAACATAGTAATCGAGGACCATATTCGCCACACTCAGAATTTGCTATTGAACATAGTAAAAATTCTAAAAAAATATTCTCAATGTCTTCGGAGCACCGCAAAAATACCTCAAGAAAGAACAATACAAAAATTCCCCCAAACTCAATGAACTTTAAGGAGAGACGGAACCCCTTTGTCTACATCAAATCTTAAAATTGTGTTTTCTCCTACAATTATTAATTTCTATCTATGAAATTACTTTATCGACTCGATTATCGCATTGTTGAGTCAATGAAGTAGTTTAATGAATAAAAAATAATAATTGCAGGAGAAAACCACAATTCTAAAGATTCATATAACCGCAGGGGTTCTGTTTCCCCTTAAACCGTCAACAAAGCATAAATTCATCTGTGCGACTGGAAATTCTCATTATTTTTCGTTACATTTCATTAAATCTGGACTTATCTTCTCTTTGCACTTCACTACACAATGAAACTCGTCCCCCGAAAATATCTAAAATTAAACTGAGATTCGTACACAAAGCGTCCAACAGGCCAACTATGAATGAGATGTTTTGGACATTGAGTTGGAAAATATTTTCATCAAAGCTCGATGAATGAAAGAGGGTGAAAATTTCGACCTCGAAATTTGAATCTTCCTAGTCCCCTTTCACCTCTTAGCCCCTTTTGAAAGAAAATCCTTGAAGCCGAAAATAAGCAGAGTACAAAGACAAAAGAGAAACTGGACGTAATCCCAGTACACAAGTTGGGAAAGGACCAAAGGGAAATATAATAAATAGAAAGGGGATCTCACATTGACCCTGAGGGGTAGGGGCAGGGGAATGGTATGAGGATGTGGTAAAGACGAGGGCTAGACGGTGAAAACGAAGAGAATGAAGGACTGAGATGAGGGGAAAGCTGAGTTTTCCTTGGTAAAAAAAAAAAGAATATATATTCCCGCAGACGTTCTGGTAAGGGGGTGAAAGCGTTAGACGAAGGAGGTTGGGGTAGGCCTCGTATTCCTCGAGGCAAAAACCCCACTCTCATCCCCCATTCCTCCCTTTTCCAAGCCCAGACCATGGCTGGGCCACGATCGATGCCAGACAGACCTGTTTCACACTACGAAATACCATAGGCACACGTTCAAACAACTTTAGCCCTTCCTTTACTGCCTCTTCTCTCCCTCAATTTGACTTAGCATCGTTTTGTATACGCTACGCTCTTCTTTTCATCTTGAAAAAAAGGGATGAAAAAAAAACAACAAGCCTCGGTGACAGGGAGAAATAAAAGAA